GAAGCGAGGAAGGGAGGAAGACGGAAAGGGGGAAAGAAGGAGGCAAGGAGGGAGGAGGGAGGAAGGGTGTGGGTTTACCTGTTCTGTAGGACCATAGGATGGCAGTTCACCTGTTCACAGAGCAAATGAAAAGGTTAAACTAAGGCGCACCCCTCCCCCACCAAGAAATCTCACTGCTCTTAAGCAGGGTCAAGGAAAAAACACGTGTGGTTCCCCAACAAATACAAAAAGGCAGGAGGAGAACTTCTCGGGCATACAAATGGCAGTAACTGCCAAGTTGTAACGGAAATAAGGAAATGAAAGCATTGTGTTTCCATGCCTACCATGGCGGCCTGAGAGGAAGCCAGCCAATGACGAGGCTCTTCTTAAAGGGCCAGAGTCACGGACTACATCTTCAAGAGTTGAGAAGCCTTTGTAGAATAGAAATATCTTTTTTGAGGTCTTGGACCAAATAGTCACTGTAATTCATTAGAGTCTTACGTAGAAAACCTGTAAGAAGGGCCCCAGTGATGAGGAGGAAGCAGTGTTGAGATAGGAGCTAGGGTCGGGGCTAGGGGGAACGTGCCTCACGAGTGTCCTTGGGAAGGGGCCTTGGGTCCACGCTGACCGAGGCCCTCCGTGGGGCTCTGTTCTGTTTCACTCGCAGGTCAGCTCCACTCTCCGCACCCTCTCTTCTATCTTAAATTCGCCTGTCACCTGGCTGTGCTTCCAGTTGAAAATTTACAGTATTTTTAAAATTTGTTTTTATCAATTTCTGAGAGAGGAAGGGAAAGGGACAGAGAGAAACATGGTTGCACTGACCCCTGCAAGCTCCCTACAGGGGATCAAACCACAAACAGTGCATAGTCTCCCTCGTTCATGGTCCAACACTCAACCAATAAGCCACACCAGCCAGGTAAATTTTCACGTGGGTTCCCAAATTCTTCCATGCCTGTTATGGGTCAGTAGCCACGAGCGCCCGACCCTTCTGCCCACACCCAACCACTGGCTTTTGGGTTCCTTTGCTTAGCATAAGGGTTTTCAGAGCCATCTGTGTGGTGGGCCGTGTCATCTCTGTTCATGTTTATTGTTGTGTAGCATTCCATTAATGGACACGTCCAACCCATCTACCCATCCTCCTACTGAGGATCACTAGGGGTGTCCGGAGGAATTAGTTGATATTTAGAAAGAAGGCAAATGTTCTCTCTGTACTTGGATGTTCCTACTAGATAACTGTGTGCTTTGTACAGTTAGCGTAGCTTTCTAACACAAGCAGCCAGGCAGGAGTCTAGAGAGACTTCTGACATTTTCCAGGGACTCTTGCACACAACTGCAGCTCTCTGCCATTCCCTGCTGGGGCGTCTCCCTCTCGGCTGAGGCCCCAGGGGAGGGGAGCCCACGGCGCCTTCCCCGTTCTGTCCTGTGTCCCGGGGAGGAGCAGGGTCTTAGGAGCGTATGCAGGNCCAGCCGCGCAGCACGCGCGCCAGGTGCCGTTCCGTGCTTCGACGGTGCTGTGGCGGGCACTGCGTCAGAGGGCCGGGGTTTTCCCCAGCGCCACCTCCCACCCCAACAAGCCACTGAGAGCCTCTGTACCGCGCCACGCAGGGGGAGGGGGGGCCCCCCGTGGCCTGTCTCTGCCACAGGAACGCCACGCTTCCCGGTGCCCCAGCCAACCCCGCACACTCTCCAGGGCTGCCCAGCGGCTGCCGGGGACAGACAGGGCGAAGCCACTCCGGAACCGGGAAACAATCCGCTCATTAGGCACGTGGCAACTGTCACCTCCTGGTGTTTCCCCAAACTCCGAGCTGGAACCAAGGAGAGAGCTGCTCTGTCTCCCTCTGTGAATGCTGTCACCAGTCACCCCTTCCTTCCTGGTGTCCGCGACAAAGGTCCTGGCACACTGCCCAAAGGCCATGCGGCACCTCTGGCTGTGGGTTACCTTGGAAGGCTCTCCAGGGCAGAGAAAGAATGGAAGACATGCCACCAGCCCTCACAACACCCTCGCTGTGTGTTGTACCAACAGGAGACGCCTAAGCTGAAATCAATGAAAACAGGCTTAAAAAAAAAAAAAAAGTTGTTTTTTCAAACGCTGTGCTCTCACAGGCTTAAATATGCTTTGAGAAGGAGGCCACGTCACGTCAGCCTTCGGGGTTCTCTCCCGGGAAGCCCATACACCCCCCGCGTGTGGCTCTGACATTAAACTGTTTCTCACTTTTAACTTATGAATGGCTTCTCCCCAGTCATTTTTTTAGTCTTGGCTGAGTCCTTTTAAACATCTGAGGAGCTGTGAGCAATCAAGCAGACGGTGTGTGTCATGTTCCTGATTGAATACTTTTGGAGGCACTTCTCACACAAGACACCCAGTTAATGGTCGCTGAAAGGTTCCACCAGCCAGTGAATGAGCTGAAGTTGTTCTCTCCTGACTTGGCCTTAAGCATGAGTTTGGTACGTAATCAATTGAGGGTATTAATGGGAGGAGGGGCTTACAACTTCCCCAGGAAGCTAGTTGGACCACCCATGAATTTAGGAGAAAAAGGCATTTTTTTCCTCTCCACAAGGGCATACCTACTGGGTGGGGTTCTGAGAGCGGTTACCTAGATTTGTAGAAACAAGACCTGTGCTGACCCAGAACAGAATCAAGGCTCAAGAGGTAGTAACAAATTTAACGACAGGACAATTGACTCTCTTCAGTAAATCAAAATCTTTTTTTTTTTACAAAAAGGGCAAAGGGGATGTGGCAGGGGGACTGGTTTAAATTCAGACATAAGAGGCAGAGTGAGCCCCTTGTGTGAAAAAAACCAACCTGTAGAACTACTTTTTGAGGCATTTAAAAATTCGGATAAGTATCTGATAACAAGAAATAGTTGTTAATTTTTAAGGTATAATATGGTTATGCAAGGAAATGTCCATTTTTAATTTTATTTTTTCTAAGCATGTTTTTATTGATTTCAGAGAGAGGAAGGGAGAGAGAGAGAGAGACAGAGAAACATCAGTGATGGGAGAGTCATTGATGGGCCGCCTCCTGCACGGCCCCTGCTGGGGATCCAGCCCACAACCCGGGCATGAGCCGTGACCGGGAATCGAACCGTGATCTCCTGGTTCATAGGGCGATGCTCAACCGCTGAGCCACACCGGCCGGGTGGAAATGTCCATTTTTTTAAGAGGCTAATGTTGAAGTGCATAGGGATGGAGGAACATGATGTCTGGGGTTTGCTTTGGAGTCCTTCTGAGAAAGAAAAATAGGTTAGAAGGGAAGAAGGGAGAAGGAAAGCAAATATGGCAGAATCGCGACAACTGCTGAGCGTGGTAATGGAGATGGGGGCTTCCTTATACTATTCTACGTTTGCACATTTGGGGAAATTTTATATGATGGACAGATGTTCCGACCATGCCACAGGGAATAGTTATTTTTAGTGGAAGTTGAAGAGGGAGATGTGAGAGTCCCAGAAAGTCTAATTTGCATACAGTAGGTGTATAGTATCGATGATTTGCACAACAGTAATTACAATCCAGACTCAGGAAGACAGGTGGGGCAATTGAACTTTTTGGGTTTTTATTTTTAATGGAAGTTAAACAACGAGCCAAATTTGGACACAGGAGGAAATGGCCACTTTCTGCTCCAAACGGCCTTCGCCACCGTGCGGCGTCCTCGGAACCTCACGCCTCCGCGGCCTCCGGGTACACCTGGCTGTCGGGGGGCAGCTGGTAGGACAGGGAGAGCAGCCCGCTCAGCACCATCATGAAGGCCGCCAGGACGGCCACCGGCACGGCGCTGCCCGGCTCCTGGCGGTCGGGCCTGAAGGGGATGTTGAAGGCGGCCGGGAAGTCTATGCCCTCCCTGCTCATCACCGCGTGGTAGTTCCAGATGACCGTGACCGCCAGCGCCACCCCGGCTGTTATGTTGAGGGCGCCCGAGGCAATGAAGAGGGTCCAGGTGGCATTCTTCTGAAGGTGCCCCAGGTACACGTTGCCCAGGCCCAGGACGATGAGCACCTTCCCCAGGAGCCCCAGGATGCTGGAGGCCAGCAGGAGGTTCTGCGCCACGCGGACATCGAGAGGCAGGTAGGCGTCGCTGTAGGCGTAACGGTGGCACTTCATGTGGGTCTTGTAGTAGTTGGCGTGGTGGTACGTGCAGACTTTCCACATCCCCACGGTGGCCAGCCCGGTGGGGAAGGCGGAGCTGTTGTCCACGTACCACAGCCGCCACTCCGCCAGGCCCATGGATGTCATGGAGAAGATCCACCCCACGGTGGTGATGGCGAAACTCATTACTTGGTTTTTGTGGCTGTAGACGAGCAGGCTCATGGTGGCCGCGTGCCCAGGGGAACGACAGACCAACAGCGGGCACAGCGAGGGCGGCCCCCCGGGGGTGCGGGTGCTAGGTTTGGGAGGGAAGCGTCACACTGGAGAACGGGGACACTTGACCCTCAGGCTCTGCAGGTGAAGGGTGCTTTGGCAACGTTCGCCGAGAGCCTCAAAATGTAGCGACTTTCCCCCTGGGCAGGTCGCTGGGTGCCCAGAGCACCCTCCGATGCAGCGAGGCTGCCGGTCAGGGCGCACGCAAGCAGCAACCGACAACTGCAAATAAGCGGGCAGAACATAAATCAATCTCTCCCCCTCTCTCTCTCTCCCTCTTCCTCTTTCTCAAATTGATTTTAAAAAATTGTACAAACTTATGAACAGGCAATGGCACTTCCGGACATTTGCCGGAAGGCATAATTAAGGTTGGCTACAGCCCTGGGCAGTGTGGCTCCGTGGTTAGACTCTCTGCCCTCGCCCAGAAGGCTCGAGGGTTCGATGCCTGGTCAAGGGCACGTACCTGGGTTGCAGGTTCGATCCCCGGCCTGGGCCAGGGCATGTGTGGGAGGCAAGCAATCCATGCGTCTCTCTCACATTGATGTCTCTCTCTCTTTCTCTCTCTGCTGTCCCTCCCT